TAGCACAAGGTGGTCTTGAACTCACAATGATCCTCCTACCTTGGCCTTCTGAGTGCTGGGATTACAGGCATTAGCCACCACACTTGGCTATTTTCGCTACTTTCTGAAACAGTTCTGAAAGTCCTCTTTTGTGAGTATCTTTAGTTGTGCTATTGTGGCTGCCTCCATCCCTTGAATTGTTTCAAAACATTTACCTTTCAGGTCATTTTGACTTTTGGGAAGAGCCAGAAGTCATAAGGTGTCAGATCTGGTGAATAAAGTGCATGAGGAGACACCTTTTTTTTTTTTTGAGACAGGGTCTTGCTGTGCAGTTCAGACTGGCCTTGAGCTCACTTTGTAGCCCAAGCTGGTCTTGAACTTGCAATGATCCTCCTGCCTCAGCCTCCTGGACACCATATGTTTTTATGAGCCCACCTTTTCATTGGACAGCACTTGGCAACAGCATTAACCATATTTTTTTAATCATATCTCGGAAAGACACTGATGAAAGAGGACTTCCAGAGCTGCTTCAGACAGCAGCAAGAACTATGGGATAAGTGTGTTGGGATACAAGGGGGAGTGTTCTGAGGGGAGTTAATGGCAATGTGTCTTTTACAATTTTATTTTTTAAAAAAATTTTGTAATACATTTTTAAAAATAGCCAGGTGTGGTGGCGCACACCTGTAATCTCAGAACTTGGGAGGCTGAGGCAGGAGGATTGTTGTGAATTTGAGACCAACCTGGGCTACAAAGTGAGCTCAAGGCCAGCCTGAACTGCATAGCGAGAACTTCTCTCAAAAAAAAAAAAAAAAAAAAAAAAAAAAAAAAAAAAATTAAACATTCACTGTATATTTTGATCACGCCTGGAATTATGTAGGCATTTAAGGGAGGTGAAAGGGTCATTTAACCCTACCCTAATTTGTCCAACATGCTGACTTGAGGCTTACCCCCAGTACTAGAATTCACTCAGCTTTCAGCAAATATGTCTGAATACCCAGCAGTACTCTAGGTGTTGGGGCTCCAGTGGGGAACTAGAGGCATGAACAGGCATGTCTCTTCTGAGCTGGCAGGAAGTGAGTGCTAAGCAGTGTGTGGGAAAACTTGATGAGAGTCACATAAGTTTTCAGTCCTGGGAGGAAAACTGATATTTTCTGAAAAGACAGTACATGATTGCTGGCGCTGGGCACAACTATAACACCACCATGCTGGGAGGCTGAAGCAGGAAGGTGGCAAGTTCAAGCCCAGCCTGGGCAACTTAACAACTTAGTGAGACGATGCGTCAAAACAAAAAACAGCTGAGGCAACAGCTCAGTGCAAAGGCCCTGGGTTCAACCCCCAGTATCACCACCACCACCAAAAAGAAAAAAAAGTTTGTTGCATGAATGACTAAGAGAATAGAGAATGCAATCATATTGTGAAGACTTTTACTGTTCTTTGCTTTTTCAAGTGCAGTGTAATAAATAATGTCTTGATCACACTCATAAACATGGAACATGATTTTTTAGTTTATAAGATCTTTTCGCAAACATGCATGCCTTCCAAAGGTTCAGCCTACGGCCCTGAATGATTAACGATGTGGCCCCTGACCGCGTGTCACTCGCCCCTTCTGTCAGCAATGGCAACACAGAAGCCAGCGGGCCCAGGAAGGACAAAGGGCCAGTTCCTATACAGCTGCTCAGCTTTGCAGTGAGAGGACCTACCTCAGCCCTCAGCCAGTCTGCACCCTGACGCAGCCAGTGAGGTGCAAAGGTGTTTCCTCAGGGGAAGGGAGCCCGGGTCTGTGATCGAGTGGATAGAACTTGCATCATGTGGGAAAAACAGTATAGATTTCCCCCGGACTGGCGTTCAGACAGGCGCTGATGTCATCTGTGCCCAGGAAGAATAACCAGTTTGGAAAAGGCTGGTCTTTTCAGCTTTGGTGAGTTCCAGTGACCCTGGGAGAGTGCGGGACAGGAGGACAGCAACGCTGGCTCGGGCAGGGGTTTCCTGCTCAGGGCTTTAGCCGAAGGGCAAGCAAAATCAAATTCTCTCGGGGTCAAAAACAAAGTCATTGTGTGCAAGGATGAATACGTAATACTAGATCCACCTCAACCCATTTTTACCTAATCCTACATTTCTTTCTCCTTTTTTTCTTTTTGAGACAAGGTCTCACTATGTATGCAGTTCAGGCTGGTCTTGGACTCACCTTGTAGCCCAGGCTGACCTTGAACTCACAACGATCCTCCTGCCTCAGCCTCCAGAATGCTGGGATTAAAGGCATGCGGTGCCACCACGCCCGGCTCCTACATTTCTTTAAACAAAAACCAGCTCTATTTTAATTTTCACCTTCTGTCTCAGAACTTCACACTGATGTAATTACACCTAACTGTGCTTAAGAGGCCGAGTGGTGAAGTGCAATTTGTGGCATGCTCAGGTTTAACCCCTCGCTCTCAAAATGCTGTGTGTCTCCCAGAAAGTCACTTAGTTGGTATGAACCTGAATTCCCTCATTGGTGAGCAGAGATAATAACATCCATCCTCTCAAAGCACTGAGGACTGACTGGAAAGCACTGTGAAACGGCCGCGGCCGGGCCCACGGCACGGAGTAAATACGAACACCTTGCTTCTTGGTATCACTTCTGAATTTCATGAGGCCCTGAAGCAATGAGTGCAACCTGGAGGAGCAACTCCGAAGGCAAGGTGTCCTCCTTGTCACCCTGCTCCTCGAGGAGCGTCTCTGTCCGCAGCAAGCTTTCCTAGAGTCCTTCAGATCCGCGGTGGGCTCCAGTCCTGGGCTTCCTCCCCTTCTCTCCCAGCTGCCCCCTGTGGCTGGGCGCGGTGGCGCACGCCTCTAATCCCAGCACTTGGGAGGCTGAGGCAG